CCTGGTGGAGGAAGGGAGACAAACACAGAAACACAAACACACAGACAGGAATCCTGACTCTTTTAGCCTTTGATTTATCCTTGTTTTTCAGAATTTCCGTGACCCTTGTGGTCCTTGAAAACACAATGAAAACTAAGTTAAATCAAACCACCTTGTGCCCCTTACATGTAACCAGCTCTTTTTTCCAGCGTAATTAATCTCATTACACTGTCACAAGTACAGAACATCAAAATGTACTCCCTGCCTTAAACCAATACCCTTGGGGAACAGCGTGCAGCAATTGTTGAACCCAGAATCACTGGATTCCAGGCGCGATGCCCTAACCACTAGGCCACGCCGGATCAAAACACGACGGCTACCATGTAGGAGGTGCTGCAGACAGGTGCACCAAAGTTGCTCCTGGTGCAACTGTAAGGTGTGAATGGTTGTCACGCTTTGTGAACTATTAGGTGTTTAGTTAATAGACAAATAATGGATAAAATTAGGCAACATTAGGAGCAGCATAATAATTAATTTTTTCTCAAAATTCACTGAGATCAAAATGTGAATATGCAGAATCTGAGATATCCATGATTTTCCACTCAGGAGTTACACAGGGAGATGGTGGAGCAGCAAACTACTACCTCCTATATGTTAGCTGTCAGGTTTTCACCCAAGTAACAGCTGCTTTCATCACACGAGCAACTAGTTTAACTCAGCTGGATTAAATTTTGGATTTCAAACTGCAGTATTTTAATGCTGCAAATGGAAAAGCGAAAGATTTTACCTGAATAAATTCAGTTAACAAAAAAAATAATCTTAGTGGTTCTTCAATTATGAAATAATGAGAACAGACAGAGAGAGATCAAAGCTGTTCTGATTAAACCAAAGGTGCACTAACTTTTCTTTACCTCTGTCACAGCAGAAGATGTCATAAACAACACAAACAGGACATGATGAGATAAACACAGATATCGGTTTGAAGCTGGAGTCGTAGGAAAAGGAAAACAAAAGTTCTGCTATCAGGGCCTGCAGAGGCAGCGTGACCTGGAACAAAGGACAGACAGCTGATTTAGCTCACACAAAATAACACATGATGATATCCAGAGGCGGTAAAACTGGATCCTGATTTATATTTAACAGGTCGGCCAATCTGAGTTTTATCTAACAAACAGGACAGAAAATGTTAAAACTAACAATGTTCAATTAGAACTGCTTGTATTTCTTTATTCTGGTCCTCTGTAGTTTGCTGGGGGTTTTTCTTCATTGTTTATAACGGAGGTTCTAAATTCTTGTCCTCAATTATCATGACTCTGCATGTTTTGGGTGTCTCCTTGGTGCCACACGGCTGAGTTTAATGAATCTGCCATCTGCTGCACTCACTGGCTGCTGAGGAGTCGTCTAAAACATGCAGGGCAG